TCCCTACAGTCCTTTTTAAGCCTCAAGACTGCTTGTGGGCCCCTGAGCTCCCTGCGTACTGAGAAAAAAATCACTCCAGAACTTTCAAACTCACGTTTTCATAAAAGCCATAAAAAGAAACAGGTATAACTTCTATTTCTTGAATACCACTGACTGATTTTCATGGGTGCATAGACTTGATCTTATTTACTCCCAGCTGGGTTTCTTTAAGGAGGTAGGTATGTGCCTTTGTTATTTGCTCAGATAATTAATAACATGAAATGGAAGAGTTGCTGGAGACCCCGCACATCAGAACCAGTGCGGTTCTGAGCACAGTTTTTGGGGCTGAAACTAAAGATTCCCTCGATGTTTGTAATGTTGTTGACAAGGTCCAGTTTATTTTAGACACAGGAGACTTAGGAGAGGAGCAGCGTCTGTCTCCCCAGTGGCTCGGAGTTGATTAGCATTGAAGGCAGATGGGCAACCACATAGGAATGACCAAGAGCTTGCTAAGCTGGCACCGGAGACCACCATAAAGTGACGGAGGAAATGGTCGAGAAGGACCTCCTTGGCCACAGGCAGTAGGGAGAATCAGGTGTGTGGAAACAATGGAAGCGGAGGGTGGATGTGCTGAAAGACACACCAACATCTGTCTGCCATCTAGTGCTGAGCATGGGAGGAAGACAAAAGAGTGAGGGGAAGCGTTCGAGGGTGAAGAAGAGACAGGCGTGAGCACTGGGCCAAGCACAGGGGAGCGTCCAGAGCCAGGCGAGCAGGCAGCAGAGGACGACAGAAGCACACACTGGGGGAGTGAAACTGGAGTGCTCTGAGGAGTTAAGATAAATGATAAGGATGATGCTGAGTACACAAGGAACGGGGGTCACAGAAGGAAGTGCTGGAGTCTTTAAGCGGTAAGCACTGGGGGAATTTATTGACAGAAGTTGTAAACGTAGCTAAAAAATTAAATGAATTCATTGCTGCAGTGCTCACAAAGGAAGATGAGAGACAGATGCCAGTAGCAGACGTGCACTTCCCAGAGGAGAGGGACGGAATGCCACAGAAAATCAGAAGCGTGCCAGAGCAGGTGATCGAGAAATCTAAACTCACAGACTACCGAGGCCACCGTCGCCTGAGAGCTGGACGGATCGGAGGGAAGCAGGGAAAATTAGCATGCAGCAGACGGAGGCTGAGTGTTTGGATGCAGGAAGGCCTGGCCGAGTGGAGCAAGACAGATACACACCTACAGCGGGCAAGAAATCCCAGTCCGCCTTAGCTCAGACAGGCCAGCCCGGGGGGCCTGCTTCCACGCACTGCCTGCCGTCTGCCTTCTCCTATTCCAGCAGCCGTCCGGGCGTTTGGAGTTCCGGGCAGTTTCCATGGTCACTGTGCAGAGCCCAACTCACTGGGCTCCTGCCCCCAAAAACGACTTCAGGTCTCTCTAAACAGCCGGCCGCTCTGCTAGCTGCTACTTACACACTGTCCAGGCCACTTCCCGCCTTCTGCCGAACTGCCCAGCCACCGTCTTCTCTTGAATGCTCTTCACAGGAGCCTCCATGCTGCGCTTCCCTACCAGTCCCTGCTCTGCCTGCCCCTCTCTCGATGGGGAAGCACCTGCAGAAGACAGGCCTCCCTGCGCCATTCGGCAGTGTCTGTTCACCCAGATTTCCCTGTATCGTACGTACACAGACAGACCTTTCCACGCCATAGACCAACTCCATCGATAGTCTTTGAAGCTAGCACAAAGTCTCTGGGTTCACAAACACGGAGTAGCTAAAGGGACACAGTGTTTCTCTGGCTCTGAACAAAACGAAGGCCACTGTTATGGACTGATGCTTGTGTCCCTCCCAAATTCCTCTGTGGAAGTCCTAACCCCTAATGGAATGGGATGGAAGTGGGGCCTTTGGGAAGTGATCAGGTTCAGCAGAGGTCATGAGGGGGGAGCCCCCATGATGGGATTGGTGTCCTTATAGGAAAAGAGACTGAGCACTTGTGCCTGCGCCCTGTCTCCCTCCCTCGTGGAAGTGCACACACCAAAGAAGGCCGTGTGAGGACAGAACCCAGAAGACGGCCCTCACCAAGAACCAGAGCCTGGTGGCGCCCTCACCTCAGACTCCCAGCCTCCGGGACTGTGAGAAATCAATGTGCTACTTTAGCCAGTGGAATAGCCAGCCGAGACAGCTGCTGATGTTACTTAGCAAATAAGTAGGGACAGACGGAGGAAACCCTGCATCCTCTGCCCTCCAGGCCACGCTCCGTAGTGAGGGAGGTGCCCTCACCCCTGTTTCTGATGGCACAGTTCTGGCTCCCATGGGACTGTGAATCAGGGTGGTGCCGCACACTCATCTCCAGCCTCCTGTCCTATGCTGCCGCCTTCCCCAGCTCCATGAAGTGCTCGCGTCCATGCGGTCATGTCCTCTAGAGCTGTCTCTCCCAGGAATCCTGCCTGACCAGCCCAAGTCACCCTCCTTCCCTGATGTGACCCCTGTCCCTCACGCCTCTGAACTTTGCCATACTGGCTTACACACATTTCCACTGTTCTCTGTTAAGACTTTTTTCAAATAATGTCCCAGAGCCCAGGATGCTGCAGTAAAGAGCATTCTCTGAGGTTTGCTATATTCTTGATGCCCAGCAAAGTTCAGCTTTATTGTACATTTTTTGTTTTTTGAGTCAGGGTCTCACTCTGTTGCCCAGGGCTGGAATGCAGTGGTATAATCATAGCTCACTGCAGCCTTGAACTCCTGGGCTCAAGCCATCCTCCAGCCTCAGCTTCCTGGGTA